ATACTGGAGGGGACACGTCCCCCCTGGTTCCTACGCCCTTGCTCTTCAACTGTAGAAGACAAATAAATAAGATTAAAAGAGAACAAACCTGCAGTAGGAGACATTCAATCCACTCGCAGTGACCATCTGATTGGGTAAGAACTCATTGAATATGTTCTCATCACCCATTCGTGCAATGGAGAGAGAGTTGTTGACGTAGCCAACCATGCAGCTTGAAAAATAGAAGAATTTTTTTAAGAGTGAGTGTTGCACACAACATGACAGACTACATATTTTCTTGAAGAATGCACATTCTCACTCAATATCTGCTGCTGTGCCGTTGGCACATGGGCCGTAGCGGTAGCGATACACCAATCGAGGGATGAAGTCTGAAGAGACACCAATGACCAGCCCATTTGCAATGACGGCTAAGACACCAATAGCCTCCAGTACATCTATCCACACACCTGAATAAAAGGAAACACTGATGTGAGGATAATTTGACTTATATATTATTAACAGGCAAACAACATTTCACTGCCAAGAAAGAGTTAACATCTTAATTCTTCGTTCAAATGTGACCCTCACCAATATCGTTGGTTTTCTTGGGAACCAGTCTGCGCTCCAGAGTGACCATTTTAATGGCGTCCAAGCGTATCTCAATGACATTATTAATGAGGGCTAGCAGAGGAGCAAGAGGAAATGCTGCCACAAATATGGTGGTAAAGCTGAACTGGATCACTAACGAGAGAGCAAAGAAGAACAGTATTTGTCAAAAAGCAGTTCAGTATTTGTGTAACGTCTTGTGATACAGAATTTAGTTCATACCCATCTCCAGAAACTCATTAAACAGGCTAAAGGAGTCGACATCGTTGAGACGGTAGTTGCTGAGCCAGTCTCGAAGCTTGCAGTTGTCACACAGTTCAGCTCCATGTCTGGCCTCGGATTCGTCTTTCAGATAGCAGTGGGCGCATTTCCTCTGCAGCTTCTGGGTCCGTCTTCTCTTCACCCACCTACAGAACCAGCTGATACAAATAACAGACAGAGACCCGTCGTAAGTAAAGTGGATTATATGGTGCACATAATCATTATATAATTAAAAATCTGATTTATACATACGGGCCTGTGAACTCAAAGACATTGCTGATGGTCTGCTTGAGTACCATTATGATCGCCATTTGGATGAACAGGTCTGTGAGACACCCGCTAGGATGACACTGCACAGGGGAGAGTGAAATGTTTGGAGCAATCAGACACAATATTCAAATAAATAGTGAAACACCAAGTCTTTTTGCACTGTATGCCAGAAAAAAAACAGTTTTCGTATTGGCATCGATGTCATCATCGATATGTGCCGATATGAAAACTGTTTTTTTTCTGCCGTATTGCAGGCTGTATTGCAGGCCTATTGGCGTATTGCAGGCCTATTGCAGGTTATCACTAATATGATGATAATCTGCAATAGGCCAATATCGGCTGACCGATATATACTCACCTCCTCCAGCCTCCACTTCCCTGCAATTCGGACATAACCGCCAGGATGGCCATTTATCCTGTCATATATGTTACAAAAACAGTCCG